CCCGCGTTTTCACGAAAATGTAGCAACGGACTAATTTTTGAATGGAATCTTTTGAATAAGTTTGGGTACTTTGAAAGCTTGAATCCTGTAGTTTCTCATACCGGGTTCAGCTTCCCAAATAATGACTTTGAAGGAAGTTATGGTCGTTTGAAGGTTGAAAAGTCGCATTTGCACAGGAAAAAAGTACCAACGTGCTAAATTTTTACTAAATTAATTTTCGGAGCTTTCAAAGAATATTTAGCAATGTTTGGTTTGAGTTCTAATCTAGAACATCTGTTTGAAAACTTACTTGAAGGAAGTTATGACTGAAGGATAAAAGGATAAAGGATAAAGCATTTGCCGTTGATCAATCCCTTTTTGGGATGCGGCACGCATTCTACTTCCATTTGTACATTCGTAGTGGCGTTTGAATGCGATGTGGCCTATACAATGACTTGCGGGGGCCAGCCGATGTACAAGTCAGTGTTTTTATCCTCCCAGACAAGTCTGGTACCAATTAACCGACCCCGGAGGGATGGAAGGCTTGGTTGGCCCGGGCGACTCACGACCCAGGATTTGATCCCCGGACCGCTCGCGTGGTAAGCGTGCCACTTGCCACTACACCACTTCCGCCCTGACAGAGGAAGGTCAAAATTGCGTTGCAGTTTTATTTATTGCTTAATAGCTTAATCATTTTGCATTGTTCACGAACAAAGCATCTGTTAGAAAGCTAGAGTCTCGCTGATCCAAAATCCACCTCGATCTTTCAAATTACCTGAAATTTAACAAAGAAATACTCGTCTAAATTTCACTATCCCCGTTCGTCCCTGTTCCCGATCAAACGCGCTCCATCGTCAGGACGCCAATGAACGCGATTCACACATTCAAAAATGTCGTGTTGTGCTTCAAAAATTAATTCCTTTGCCCGGCCTCCTATCCGAAATTTAAAAGCTTGGCAGCTCGGTGCCAAGTGAGTTGGGGGAGCACGCGGCGACGCTGGGGAAGGGGTCGTACCAAAACTCCCATGAAGGGGGGGGGGTCGTAGAAATTTCCAAAAAGTACCAACGGTAGGGTTGACCCTGGCTTGGCCCCATCTCGCGTTGAGAGACCGCACCAACGCCTAGTCCCTATATTTAGCATCTATTAATTTGATTTCTTCACATAATTTATGTGCAAGTAAATTGTCGTGGTTTCATGGCAACCAAAATTTGAAGCCGATTTTCACTGCTGCACACGCTCTTCATCTCACGCACGCTCCACTCTCCAAGACCGTCCGGTTCTGGCTTTTTTGGAAAGCAGGAGTCACTGTTTCACCGTTCTTGATTGCGGTGAACATTACAGTTTGAAGCGTTGCTGTCATGGTTCGTGCGTGGTACTGGGAACGAGTGCCGGATGGTATATTTTCCAGGCGAAGGGCATAGTTCATGCCTTTCGTCGCCAAAGGATCGAGTTAGATTGTGCTAGCAAGAGGGGTCTCTCAGGGCAAACTGCGCTTTTTCAGAATCGTTTCTTAGGGACGCATGTGTATGCCACAAAATCAGGTCCCCTTGGAGACTGATTTTTGCATTTGTTAACTGCGGAAATGGCGCTAAATGTCAAAATCAGATGTCATATTCATCGTCAGGACCATTTTGAAGCCAACAAGTGGCCGCCAACCTTGATTGCAAAATTTAGTCGCCGCGGGGGATCGAACCATCAAGAGTATTATTCACCACTTTTTTGGTACTACTAAAACCGTTCAGCGAAAACGAAACATGGTTTTGTGTTCCATACATGTGTCCCTAAAATATGCAAGAAACCATTTTGAAAGACCCCCTCCCCACCTTGTAAGCTTGCCCAGGGGGATAAATACACATCGTCGCATCTCAGCTATGTTCTTCAAGCCATGTTGCAAGCCTAACACGCTTTTAGGACCCATGACCTTTTGGGTGAATTACCAGTGTCATTTTGAAAAACTTTGAAATAAACGCCGAACAATTTTCATCCTTAATTTTGTCCTCATCGCGACATCTCATAGAGCGGCCTTAAGATCTCAGATGAACAGATCTCTCTCTGTTTACGCAAGGCGTTCGCGACGAACAGCTGACCTGAGATTTCCAGTTCCTGCTCGTGACTAGCACTCAGGTGGGACTTGCCACCTCGCTAATCCCTCGCTAGTTATGCGTGGTGACGGCTGCTGGTTGTCGTCTTTCGCTAGCCGAGCGTAATTCAGCGAGACGTCAAAGTCCTTAAATCGACTCTCGTTTTCCTCGACGGAGCAATTGGGGATGGCGGATCGAAATGGGGCCGATGTAAAGGGGGAGGGCGACTAATGGGTGGTGTACTCCTCGGGGACCATTCTGCTCGACAAACCTGTCACGTCACACGGCTCCATCGTCGTTATCCCTCGATCATAGGCAAATCCGCTCACCGTTGCCATCCTTCCGCCTCATTCACTTATCTTTTCTTCCTTCAGAGGGGAAACTATAAACCCTCCTGAAGGAAGTATGAAATTAGCATCTTAGTAGCTTTCAGAGCCTTCGTTGTCGCTTTCGTACTTTACATTCGAATGTTGAAGTATTCACTAATTTCGTTTACTATATAACGGCTCTTTCTTGGCCATTTCTTGGACTTTTATTAGCTTCTGCCTGCAGCTCCTGAAAACTACAGCTTCAGTTGAAAGTTTTTTCCATCGAAATTGCCTTTGATGCTAAAATATTCAAAGGAAAGCGATTCAAGCGAGTGAATTGGGGAATTAACAGCGTCTGACTTGGGATTGTGCTTTTCCTCTCAATTTTTGTTGTATAACATACCTTGATGCGAGTTTCTTCTTTTTTCGCTTGATACAGGTCGCTTTTCACTATTTGAGACAGCCAGCTCTTTTTTGAAAGTCTCTTAGTGAACGCATGGCAGTAGAGCGGTCCATCTCGGTTTTTGAGCCGTGATTTTAGTGAAAATCGTCTCAAATATTCTATTTTCTATTGACTTCTATTTTGTTCCCGACTTCTATTTTCAGCATCATTCCGATGCGATTGCCTTTTTGCCTCATAACATCCCCTATCATCCTCTCTCTACCCTGAATAATCGCTAAATCTACGACAGGCATTTGTAGTGCTCTGCAAATAGGAAGATCCTTCGACGACCCTCCAATTCAATGTTCTCTGGTCTTTAGAAGAGTGAGTGTTCAGGTTGACGTGACTAGTTTCGAGGTCTCAATGGCCAATTACCGACGGCAAAGCTATTCAGTGTTCAAATAGCGCAGCTGTACCTCAGCTCCTGCTACTTTGGTAATAGCAATTATCGCCAGAATACCCTTGTAGGACTTCTCAGCAGAAACGCTGAACCCTATAAAAGGAGGTACAGATTCCTATAAATTTTCAACGGATCTTCGGAGTCTGAAACCCGTCTTAGCAATTTACTCCAGTTACGTAAAAACATCACCAAAAAATTCTTTTTTAACGATCCCCATTTTTTTATCATGTCTGTAGTCAAGGATCTTCCTCTGAAGTCTTTCATAAGCAGAGCTCCTGAAAAAAAAATGTTCTCAAGAAGCTAACTCTCTGCAAGCGATTCGAGTGCCTATTGTGAGAGCAGTGATGTACAATTCATGATCCGCCCAATTTAACCCCATTGGAACGACGAATCCATGTATTTGGTGCGAGAGTGAATCAAGACCGAGGGCTCTCCGACAGCAAAGAGAATAGTTAGATGAAGAGTAAATAGTGAACTTAAAAATGTTGAGAGGTGGGGGGGGGGAGGAACAAAAAATGCAATGGAGGAAGGAGTCGCATTCGCCATTGTTGGCGGGAGGTATTCGTTACGTATGATTTTTTATGAGGTGGGGTAGGGCGGGGGTAGGGAGTCGAAGTGTGTCAGGTTGAAGTAGGATAAGTGACAGTATTGTCACGAAGACGTTGCTGGTAAAATGGAAGGGAGGAGGGGAGGAGAGGGAGGAGGGGGAAGTCATACCGGGACTTTTGTTGAGAGGCGAGCCGACCGCCGTGTCTTCCGTTTCCTCGACGCGATGTTCGGCCTGGAAGGAAAGCAGGAAATTGGGAGAAACGACGTTCTTGGAACAGAAAGCTTAACAATGTTTTATTCCACAGCGAATTATGACGACTCTTCAAAGCAGCACCAAACTTCAAATAAATAATTCTAAAAGAACAATATTAATAACGAGCTTATTAACTGTCAAAGCATCTTCATTAGTAAGGAAATCTTAAGTTCTTCTTCCTGTTCCAATTGACCTCGCCTGGCAACGGTGTGAACCAAGAAGTGTACTGTCGACTCATCATCTCCTGGTAATATTGCACCGAAAAGTTCGCATTGCATAGGTCCTCCTCGCAACAGTCATCGCAATTCACCTGCAAAAAAGCATTTCAACAAGTTTTCTCCAAGCCTCGGGTTGGATCCATATAACTCCAATCAAATAGGCAATTTCAGGGCAGACATAAAGGCAGTGATTACGATGGCTAGAGGGCGGAGCGCGACATTGTTGAATGTAATGAGTGGACCAAAATAGGCCCGCTGGCGCGGTGTGGACGGAACTACCCGCAAACGGCCCCAAACCATTGAGGTCCAATGACACTAAACCGCTCTCCCCTCTCCCCCCGCCCCCCGCCCCATATCATCGGTGTCTCACTACCCTTTGAAAGCTTCGAGCTTTCATGTTCATCATACTTCCAGTTCCAATCATCAAATGAAAGCGAGCAAGACAACGATAAACAAGTTACACATAAAATCTATGAAGAGCAGAAGATATTGTTTGACTTATTCGTGCAATGGAGGAAGTCACATGCTTATATCCCAAGTTGAAAATTCGTGGTATTTTTATATGACAAGAAGCAAACTGACAAGTTGATGCAAGAATGAGGAGTTGGAGCTTCGGAAGTATGTGGGACCCACAATGCCAATTATCGGTTTTGGACAGCTTCACTCGACTTATTTCTACCTTTCCCTTTTCTAAAAATAACGAAAAGCGTCGGGTGCAGACCATACCATTACAATGACACAGCCTCCAAGTGAACTGGTTAATAGTGGTTCATAGTGGTAGTCGATTCTTGGTAAGTGATAGTTGTAATCGTGACAGCTGGTAGAATACGACTGCAACAAGCTAATCATTCCATTGACATAAAACGTTTACACTTTGTGGAGCCGTTCGCCAACTGTGGATGCGGCCCTTGCACCCACGTCCCCGTACTTGACAGGGAGCGTAGTGAACCGGGAAAAACATTTTGAAAGAGGAAAAACACGGATCGATATAATTCAATAGTCATAGCCAAGACCAATATTTGTTCCAAGAAGAAATATACAATGCAGTGGCTCTTCCGACCAGGGTCAACCCTGCGTTGCGTGACTCTCCGACAGCGTGCAGAGCTCCTGGAGAACATTAGAGGCTGAAAGTGCACTCCCGGACACTGCACTTTTCAAGCCGTCTTGCAGCCCGTTTGTGGATACGACCCCCTCCCTTTTCGGTCGGCTGAATACGACCCCCTCGTTGTTCTTTGCGCAACGCAGGGTTGACCCTGCTTCCGACCCAATAGGATCGGCTACGTTTTGTTAAACACAAGATAAATTTGAGCTCGTTAGTAGGAAGATTCTGCTTCAAAAAATTCATAATAAAAAATTCACTCGCCAACTCATAGTAGTAGTGACCTTGTCAGAATCCTAACGTACTGAGCGGTGAACTCCGAATTTCCTATAGATCTTTCTTGTGAGTTGTCTCAACCAGGCACAAAAATTTATGCGGTACATTTGCGAACGTAACGTAACGTATGGGATTGGTTTGGTCGAAGCTGTGGCTTAATCGAGTAGCACGCATATAATACCCTATAAGACTTCGTCTCTTCGATTTCATTGTTATCCATCCGTATCAAAATTGAAATGGCCTAGCGACAGCTTGGATGACGATGAGCCTTCAATCTGAGGAGGGGAGCTCATCGAAGCTATCGCTTCCCATAAATCATGAACCGCAATTGTGGTGTCATCGGTGTGCCTCGGCTCCTCGTCGTCAATTTTTATGAACGCCTACTCCACCTCGATATTTGTAAGCCTTTTCACACATTAAAACCAACAGGGCAAAGCCACCATCCCAAATGAAACCACTGCCCAAGATTCGACTGATGACTCTTCAAAGAACCTTTGTCAGCCCCAATTCAATGGTCGTGCTCAATAATTGACTATGCCTTCAGGTTGGTGCGAACAAAGATACCATATACTGTACTTACTACATATTCGGCTATGACGTGGTTGAACGGCTGAAGTCCCCAGCGTTTCTGAAGGTCTGTTTTGTTAAAGGACGAATTCACGCTGGAAAAGCAACCCATTTCAAATTAACTTAGGGATGGTGAGTGGTACACGAAAGAAGGAAAACCATGAGAAACGGCCCAGAACCCGAGAAATGGGACCCCTTCCTTGCCCGTTGATTTGAGCATTGATGCGACTCTCATCGCTGTGCCCTCTTCAACACTACGCTCCTATCTAATCACTCGCCACGTATAGACCTGCGGCGAGTGATCAGATGACCGGTGCATCGCCAAGACTAAGCCTTAATCCGAGGTCAACTCCTTCGGTGCCAATTGCGCTTCAGTCCGCACCCTTAGGAGGTCCGCGGGTCCCTCAACTAGGTGAATTACTCCTTCTTCGACCTTCATTCTAATCGTGAATTCGTCCTTTAATCAACGTGAGAGCATTGGGGAGTTCTTGACAAGCATACTTCTCGTTTCAAGGGCACAAGTCGTGATTGAGCTAGGGTATTTTTCGCTTGAAATTGCGTACAGAGATGTAAAATGGAACGCCAGAAGAGAAAAAATAGTAAGAAACTGTTGACAAGGCTAAATTTGAAACCGCTCTCATCAATGAAAGCGAAGGAGGCTGGATTGGAAAGAAGGCGTGCCCGACCGAGTTTTCTGGACATGTCAGCCGTTGCCGGCCAGCAGTCGATACGGCAATCAGTGCACCTTACCCAGCTGATTTTAAGCGATATTGCAGTCGCGCACTACCTTCTGCAGTGGGCAGTCCCAGCTCTGGTCAAGTGGTTACAGGCCGACATTCACACCGTATAAGCGTAGGTGTCTGCGCTACGATAGGCCATTAATGAGGCCGTCAGTAAGCATGCTGGAGCGCAACAACTTTCTCAGAGAAAATTGCTTTAGAAGTCTTCGGAGGCGAGCCGAGGTAGCGAATGGGACTTTTAGTGCGCTATGGCACAACGCCTCCTTCTATCCTTAGCTTAGGTGGACGCCCGAACGTCGGCGAATTAATTTTCTGTCAGGCTTCATTGGCGTATTGGCTCGCTCCAGTGTTGAACGTGTGTGTTCCTTCTGTGAGTTCTTTCGATACTTTGGAAGGATGGACATGTTTTTTTTAGCATTGCTTTTCTACTGCAAATTCACGGCGGCTGGTAAACGAGGCGATTGCAACATACAACTGGAGCCTCAATTAGCTTGCTTGGTCTCCAAGGCTGTAGTTGTTCTCTCGTTGAGCTAAGTTTAGAAGCCAATTGCGACACGGCCTTCCATTCAGCATGTCTGGTCCTTCGAAACTGAACGTATTTTGAGAGGTTTCTCTCCTTCCTCGTAAAGTGAAAGACGTTCGGGGTTTCTACGCAACACGTTGACAAGAACGATTTTATAAGCCCGCCAATTGGTTCCTGGAGACAGCCGGAACCTTTATGCCGTCCGCTGTGTTCCCTTCCACTTTGAGCTTTACGCCGTCCGCTGCTATGTGTGGCGTAGTCGAATGGCCCGCGGAATTGTAATCATGTCTTTCACTTGTGACATCAACACTTCGTGAAGGCGCACAAAAGCTGTGTTCTATAGTAGAATGTCCCATATTAGTCATAACAAAAAGCTATAACGACATCATTAATTCGTTCTACGAGGAATTGTTATTCTTCGTTACCCATCCTTATGCTACTCCCTCCTCTCCTGCCCTCCTTACCGCGCACATGTGAAATGAACGAGCGTGTCAGTAGTGTTTATCATGGCGTCGAGGAGTATACAATCTGCTGGGTAAGCATGCATTCAAGTCCTGCGAGCGACACGATTTTGTTAGCGGTTTATTATTCATGTATTCCTTAGACACAAAAAATATTTTGCGGGGGGATGGAGTGTTCATAGTTGGCGATCGTACGTGCGATCAGGTGAGTAATTGATTAGGCGAGTGGCGAGTAGGCGATAAGGGTAGGATACGTATTGATTTGTTGCCCCGCCCTTTGAGCGGTCGCCTACTCTCCTACGACGCTGTATGGGGGAGCAAACCAATCAATACGTATGTATTCTTCTACGTCTAATCATCTACACACTAATCGCCTAATCGTCTAATCGCACGTACAATCGCCAACCATGAACACCCCAGCAGAGGGACATACAGGCGCGCATAAATCGACACATCAAGTTTATACACTAGAAAGATTCTGGTAAAAATGGCAAAGCTTTGAAAAAAGCATTCATTTTTCATCATCCAACTTAATAGCGCGTTTGACATGACCACTATTCGCCAACATAACAAGGTAGCACTCCTGTGAGCCCGCATGCTATCCACGCCCTATTTACCTTTTGAAGAGCCATCACCTGGTGTTGTCTCCGAGGACCAATCTAGCCTCTGCCGAGCCAAGATATATGTCGCCGTCAAACGCTTTGCGCCCCTGTTATTATCCTTCTTCGCCTCCATGATGCACAGCCCAGCACTTTCTTTTCTTCTTGTAATGCGCTGCTATCCAGTCATACTGGAAACCCTAGCGATATGCTTATAAGCTTCGCGTATTCTGAGGTTTCTTCAGCAGCCCGCGGTTTCTCAATTACATCCCTTATTGGCTTTCTCGTTGAGATGTTGTTTATGCTGTCGTTTCGCTTTTTTCACGACAGCCGAAATTCATGAAAAGAGCTTCCTTCATGTTCTTAGTGTAAAACACTTATTCATGCCTTTCGCCGATGGACAGCTTTCACACAACCCCAGCTCTGCTCAGCAGCTCTATTTATACTAGCTTTTCTGTTGATACGAAATCTACTGACTGCAGTATCAGCCACATTCGGTACTGTATCGGTGACGTCATGACAGTACGTTTCAGTGATCACATCACAACTGCAAGAGATTGCCGTCTGTGAACAGCTGGACACTCTCACCTCTACGTCCTAGCAAGGTGCGAATTTAGAGGCCCCGCACAGTTTCATGTTACACTGGGATTGAAATCCGTTTGTGCCCAGTGAGCCGTTCATCCAAGTGAGGCCGACTAATTGGCTCAGATTTGTCTGAGAGAACGAAAATACTGACCTGTGCGGTGCCTCCCAAGGGAACAATAGGCCCCGACGACCTCTTTGTCCCTTTGATGGCTTTGATGTGGCTTTTTGTTGTAAGAAGAAAAGCCCTTTGATGTTCCGCAACTTCAATTCCTTCTTGAGCGTGCTGCGAGAAAATTAAAATGAAGTAAACAGCTGGCAAACCTGAACCGAGTTGTATTTCCCCAGAGATAGCAAACGTGAAAACGAAGCGCATTAAGGTCTACGCAGCCTGGCTCGGACAGCTCCTCCCAACTTCCGCACGTATGGACTTTTTTTTATGGTTCGGGAAAAATCTGCGAAAAATGCGGGGTTTGAAGCTCGAATTTTTTGGTCACGGTGCAGACGAGTCGCGGATCCACATCTGCCAAAAGTCGGATCTAATATGTACACCACACATCAATCGAGCGAGATTTCATCATCCCAAAAGGTACCAATCAAATCTAAACAAGTATAGGAACGACGGGAGAAGTTGGACGAGCCGCACTTGACGCTACTACTACCACAAGCCCAGGATTTAAAACTGTAGTTTATTGTCGCTCAGTTCAAACAATTGCTTTTTCTGCTACTTCATGCTTATGACCCCCTTGTGGCACTAAAGTGCACCATAACCGACTGTGTAGGTAATTGCCCGATATCACACCATTGCACCCTCAGTTAGGCCTTGGCCTTCGCGTCCCCTGATGATCATTCCTCCTATGATTTTTGCCTCGAACACATTCACTTCAGGTTTACCTTCTCAGTCGTATGGGTACTGCTGGTTCCTTAGATCAGCCTTTCATTGCTTTTTTTCTCTTAATAATTGCATTGATTTCGCATACTGGATTCACTGGCGCGTCTCATTTGGACGTATAAATAAATAAATAAATAAATAAATAAATAAATAAATAAATATCTGCACAATTGGTTAACTCTGTTCAGTTATCAATTGCCATCTTCCATGCCTATTAAATCAACTGAAGTCGGTGACCCAAATGGTACTGTGCATGCAATATAGTGATCCAAATTCCCATCGATGCTGAATGAAAATTGAAAGCGTGGCGCGTCCTCGTTCACAGCGGCTCTGCGTAGTGCTAGTCGTGAGATCAAGGGGATCGTAAATTGAGAGGAATGTGAAGCGTTCCAAACATCCTCAAGACTGGCGGAGAATAGGAAATGTGTGGAAACAATAGAAAACTGGTGAAAAATCAATACGCCTTTGTCATTGTCGAGGCGACGGAGGAACGAGACAAACCCTGGGGCAAAATTTTAGTGCAGCATGTGATCCGATTACTTTCGCCAATTTTCCTCGCTGTATTCCTCAGATTTCTCTTGCTGGCATTTCCAACAAACTCTGGTTGGTTCTCCCTTCAACTAACGATTAATTGGTTGGCCATTTACTATTGCAATGAGTCACTAATTCAAACCTCAACATCTCTCTTTCTATGAATGTCCTAGCCAGAAAAGCTTGTCTGGCTTCATTTTTTTGTGAAAATTGAGATTGCTTCCATTTTAAGAGCTATATGAAGCCAACTACGCGCTATCGGAACAGAGCCGTATGATTGGTTGTTTTCTCTATGTGATGACTAGGGGAAGCCATTGCCCTGGTA